GTGGACTGAAGTGCCAAGATCTGCCTGATTGCTCAGGAGGCAGGGACCCCACGGGAAACCTCCTCTAGAGCTCTCCAAGCCCACCCCCCTGCCTGGCTTATTCACACTTACGGCACTCCCCCCATCCACCTACAGACTAGGAAGGCAGGTGAGGCCCCTCTTCCCTCCTTCCAACTAGCCATGGGGCAGATGCTTAGGGCAGAAGCAGAGGGTCTCAAGAGCAGTAACTTCTCCAAGGTCACATGGCGATGGCACAGCTGCACCTACATCTGGGTTGAGTGGTTCCAGGTCTGGGCTCCTTGAGCAGAGACAAGAGCCTGTGTCTGTGACAGTGGAAGGCTTCCTTGTTATTACTGCCAGTGCTTATTTGTCCATTCAAGATGAAAAGGATTATTTATTCATTCATTCACTACCGGGCTAGAGTTTGAACCCAGGACCTCCCTCATACGAAGACCAGCACTGTACTGCTGAGCTACGTCCTCGGCAAATTTTACTTTAAATGTTTTGCAATTCAAAATTTAGAGTTCCAAGAAACTAAAAATAAAGTTTAAAGAAAGTAAAACTCACCCTTAAATCCTACCAACTGGAGAGAGTCACTTTTAACAGTTGGCTGAACAGAATCCCAGACAGCGCTGTGCGTGAGTGCTGGGACTTATGGTGATGGAATCGCATACTGTTTCATAACATGCTCTTTTTACTCAACAATATGTCACAGGGATCTTCCCACCTCAGGGAAGGCAGCCCCACCCTTTACATAACGGCTGTCGACTGTCCGCTGCAAATGGAGGTACATTCTGGATGCATTGAGATGTTTCCAGAATTTTGCTGTTCCTAAAATTATATGGTGAATGTTATACCATCATCGTCACGGCCCCAGCTGCTGTTTAGTATATTTTAGCAGGCTGGTCATTTATCCATTATTGATTTATTTAATTCTATTCAATTTGTTTATTTACTATTTATTTATTTTTTGAGTGTGTTCACATTTGCACATGAGTGCAGGTGTCCACAGAGGCCAGAGGCACTGTGGATCTGGAGAGATCCAGATCCCCTGGATCTGGAGTTACAGGCAGCTGTGAGTCACTGGGCATGGGTGCTGGGACCTGAACTCTGGTCCTTTGCAAGAGCAGCGACTTCTTAACTGCTGAGCCATCTTTCCAGCCCAGAGTTCCAGGGTTTTAATGGGCAAATCTTGCCAATGACTCTATTGCATAAGGCTCCTAGGTCACCCTTGAGGAGGGTGATGAGTCCTGGGCTGATAGACACCAGGCTGATATGGAAACATCTTTCTGAGCCACCAGTTAGGGGGTGAGAACTCCACAGAAGGCATTTGCCAGGCTCTTTACATTCCTCCTTCTTCTTGGGGCCAGGAAGTCTCCTCCCCACTGGAGAACTGCACGGTGCTTTCGGGATCCACCCGGGTCAGGTTGGAGGGTAGAGCAGGTTGGGGCCCTATGCCCCATGTTTCACCCTAGAAGTTTGCTCCCTTTTCTTCTCCCCTCAAGCTTTCTATTTCTAGTGGGGTGCCCTGGCCAGCGGGGAGGAATCTGCCCCACAGAACCAGGCCTAAGTCAATGCACATGTCACTGGCATTGGCTGACTCGTGGCCTGGGGGTCTCCAATGCAGAGGTTTCTTTCTCTCCAGCATAGCACCAGACCCTGCCCTTCTCGGGCAGTAAAGCACTCCAACAAGGTTCCGTTAGCTAGAGGGGTGCGAAGAGGGAGACAGAGCTTCGGGCTTCTTCTAAGACAAATGTGGCGTCCTGGGTCAAGGTCAAGGTCAAGGTTAGGGGGATACCTAGAAACACTTGCCTGCCGGGTTAAAGGGCTTGCAACAACTGAGCTATTGGAGACCCCTTGAATTTCGTGCCTGGAGATCGTTTTTTGTTTAAACACCAGTCAGATAACTCCCAGGATGTTGCCATCCCCAAGGTGACTTTCTGCCCTGTCTCTGAGCTCTACCATTTCCAGCATTGTGAGTGAGCCAAACCAGGGCATGAGGAAACTCCAGAGGCCTGGTTCATCCCCACAGATGGGAAACCAGGAAACATGAGTGTCAGCTGCTCCTGAGTCACGCGGCCTGCTCAAGGCCACGAGTCCACCCAGCACTCTTCGCGCCCTTGCCATTTTTAGTGGTGACAAGGGACGCAAAGTGGCCGTTAGATGAGGTCCGTCCAGGCTGCTTGCCCTGGATGCTGTCATCTTGCCCTGCCCTCTCTACCATGTCATTCTTTTCCTTTGCCTGTCACTTCTGTGTCAAGGTGGTCCGTTTTCAAGCCACCATGCCTGCTTTCTGGGCAGGACGTGGTGAAGGGCTTCCCCCCACAGCTTTCCTGGGCTATATGTGCCCAAACCCAACTGATACATCCCCAGCGCAAGCCCTACACCTGAGGCTCAGGGAAAATCACAGAAGAGGGGCTGAAAGGCGGTAAGAACCGGAAGTCCAGGATGTCTTTGGTGAGATCGCATCTTCTGTAAATGACCAGGAAGCAGGCCCCCATGGACTTTCAACAATATGGCTGCCAAGCGGGGCCAGCATAAAAACACCAGCTGACTGGCAACCTGGAAGAGGAAATTCCATCCCCTAGACGAAGAGCCACAGGTGGCCAACGAGAGAGAATCAGTCTCCTGTGAGAACGAGCCCCCACAGAGGTTGTCCAGCCCAGGACACATGCACACATGAACACCAATGACTGGACTCAGCAGATGATAGACACGTGTGCATATATAAGTATATACATGTAACAATGATAATTAAGAAGAGACCATGAATTTGGGAGTGGAGGGAGAGTTGGAGGTGGGGGGGCGATGACATAGATGCAGGGCTCACGCATGAGAGTCTCAGAAAATAAAATTTTCTGAAGCTGACACCCTGTGACCTCCGCTCAGTTTTTGTTGGCTTGAACTCAGCTGTCTGGCCAGCCCTCGTGTGTCTGGCTGAGACTGAGAACAGAACCTAGGGCAGTAGTTCTCAACCTTCCTGATGCTGTGACCCTTTGCTACAGTTCCTCATGTTGTGGTGACCCCCCAACTGTAAAATTATTTTCATTGCTACTTCATAACTGTCATTTTGCTACTGTTATGAACCATAATATAAATACTTTTGGAGACAGAGGTTTGCCAAAGGGGTCTTGACCCACAGGTTGAGAACCATTGACCTAGAGCCTTGTGCATGCTCTGCAGGTGCCCTACCACTGAGCCACCTCCCCAGTCCTGGTCAGCCCTAACTGAATATTTTCTACACTGGGGAATGAACTTGGGACTTTGTGCATCTAAGCAAGGGTTCTATTGAAGAGCTACACACCCCCCTAGGGCCCTTTTTACTTTACGTTTTGAACCAGGGTCTTGTTAACAGTACAGACTGGCCCTGAACTTAATCTACAACAGGGGCAGGCCTTGAACTTTCGAACTTCCCACCCCAGCCTTGTGAGTAAATGGGCTTACAGGACCGTGTCAGCGGGCCTGACTAAGTGGATAGTTTAGCTGGGTATATGGCCATAGACCAGAAGTAATCAGGTTCTGCTAGAAGGAAGATGAGAGAAGGAATCAGGTGACCAGGGAAGTTAGCCAGTGAGGTTGCTTGGGTGAGGTCTTGGCTAAGGACACTTGGTTCAGCAAGCCACTGGGCTTTTTCTTCTCTTTGACCCCATGTCTCAATGGTGGGCACAGCAGAGAATATCACGTTTGAGCTGCAGGTTTCTGGGGACTTCGGAAGCTAAGGAGAATAAGGAGTAGTCTGAGCACACACACCCCTCCCTGGTGAACCTTTGGATTCTCTCATCTTCCTACAGGCTGGAGGGAAGAGTCAGTGGCTGGCTGGAGGCAGGTGGCTGGAGGCTGTCCCTTGCAGCTGGCTTGTTGGAGTCCACAGCTAGGTGATGGTGTCTTTCAGTACATTCCGCCTCCCCCCACAGGGTACTGCAGAAGCCACAGTCTTTCTCCAGGTAAGACCCAGCTTATTGCACAATGGCCTTTCGACGACTCATCCTCCTGATCGAAGCCCTAGGCGCTGGTGGGGCAGGTACCTGCTGAACGGTCTCAACCAATGTCAGCTCTCATTGCCTCTAACCGCGGTCTTCAGGGTGAGGAAGCCTACCCCACAGCATCAACTAGACATGTGTCAGAAATACACACTCTCAGTCCCCACCCCAGACCTGTGGAACATGAGCAGCAGGATGCAGCAGTTTGTTCAACAAGGCCTCTGGGTTATGCAACTGTCAGGCTCTGGGTGTAAGAGTCCCCAGGTGCAGTGACTCCCAGCCCTGAGACTGCTTCTGCCCCCACAGCAGCCACACCAAAGGCTGCTGGGAAAGAAGAAATGAGGGAGACTACCTAGCCCTCTGTCCTTCAGTTTGGGCTGTGAAAACTGACTTTTCTTGATTTTGTTTGTTTTGAGACAGAGTCTGGCTGTATACCCCTCACTGGCCTCAAACTTTCAATTTTTCTGGCTCTGTTTTCTAAATATGGAGTGAGACCACACCTAGCTAAAGTGTTTTTATATATGGCTGGCCTCAAACTCTAGATTTACATGGTAAAGGGCCATCACCATGAGAGAGAGGAGCATAAAGCCCATTCTGAGTTTCAGTCCAGGCCAGAAGAGCCCACTTCGAGAACTGTGGGCCTTCTCCCCCACCAATGAGTTAACAGGGAGCTTGCCAAAGATAAGGTGTGGGCAGCTTATTCTGTCGACACAGGGCAGGGGCAGTGGGGATGTTCTCATCCTCCTCGGCATCCAGTCCCCAGAGAAGCGGACACCCAAGAGGCTGAGGGGGTGGAGGCAGCTGGCATGAGCCAGGGATGGGGATGGCTGAGGCATTGCGGGGGCCAGAGAACCGGTCCAGATGGAGAAGCTAATGGAGGCCGCAATGGCTGGAGCGCAGAGTGGTCCCTGACTCTGGCTCCAGTCAACGGGGCACTAAATGATCTGTGCCATCTTGGGTAAGGCAGGTAGGCTTTTGAGCAACAAAGAAAACAATTGAGCCATTGACGGATGCACAGTCTCCATCACAACCCAAGCCTCTGCATACGCAGGGATGCTTGTCTTTATTTAAAAAGGAGCCAGTGTCTTTCTTTAGCACTAACACAGCAGTGGCCCTTGGCAATCAGACGTCATTTGCACAACACTCTTGGAAGTCACACCTGCGAGGCACACGGCACAGACATCACACTTTGGGCAGCACGATCGCCCACACAGAATACATTTCTCACTTCCAAAGTCTCCTTTAAGAAAAATATCAATCCCCAGGTCAGAGCAGAATGGATGGCTCTGTCCTGAGAGGAGGGGCTTGCTCTCCAAAGCAGCGTGGTGGTGACCGAGATTCCCCAGGAAGGTGTGACTCCAGCTGGGACACTGCCAGGGCCCTTCTCTACTGCTGAGAGATAGAAAGGAGCTGTCCGTCGCCCACAGGTGGGGGCGAGCCACTGGGAACCTGGGCCTGTCATCAGCATCCTGAGGCCCCCACACAGACCAGTACACAAATAACTCCAGGCCTACGCTGCTTCCAGGGCTGACAAGGGCTGCTTGCTCCTATTTCTTCGTTTTATTATTTTACAGGAACAAAATTTGGAGTAAAAGCTGGTAGCTCTGGAAAACTTTTTCTGGCTCTTAAGAGAACAATGGCAAACTGGAGTGGAGAGAGGGTCACCTCTAGACTTTCTGTTGACTCTCCCGGTGTGCAGGAATCAGGGGCCCTTCGATGCCAGGTGCAGGGTTAGGTGGGGAAACCAGGGCTCTTGCCAACCCCGTGGCTCAGGTGTGTTCCTCAGGCCCAGCTCATCACAGGGGCTGACTCTGGGCTAGCCCATGCTCCTTCAGACAAGGCATAGAAATGCTCCCACACAGACAAGGTTTTGTGTGTGTGTGTGTGTGTGTGTGTGTGTGTGTGTGTGTGTGTGTGTGTGTGTGTGTTGACGGGGGGCAAGGGGCACAGTGAGGCAGAGAGGAAGATAATGTTGAGATTGACCCCAGAGGAGGGAACAGTGGATTCTAGGAAGCATCTCACTATGCAGTGAGGTCCAGGCAGGGCAGGCAGGTCCTACACAGGAACTGCTAAGCAGGAGAGATCCCACCCTGCATCAAGCTCCTCAGTCACTAACATTCTTCTGGGGGAGCATTCCTTCATCTGAGGTTTTCTACAGGACTTCATCCCCACAGTCCAGTTCTGGCCTTTCTCCTATCCCATTCTGGTAGAATCTGCTGTCCCGAGGGTTGGGCTCCTTGGTGTCACAGAAGGTTCAGGTGCTCAGCAACCTTGCTCCTCTGAGGAGGGCTCCTCTGAGCCTTGGTGGGCAAATGTCCTCAGGAGAGAGCCGTTAAAGCAGCGAGAGCAGGGGCTGAGGGGTGGGAGTGTGCCACTGAGGTCCTCTAGGTCGGTGGTGGGCCCCCTGCCTTGACACCTCCCCAGGCGACTGGCATAGAGGCTGGTGTGGGAAGTCGCTCCACGGTTGCCATGGCAACCGGTCTCTCTTCCCCAGCCAGCCCGGAGGGCTCCAGGTGGGAGGCACAGGTTTGCTGCAGGCGCCGCCAGCGCCAACGTGGGAGGCATGACTGGGCTACTCGCCAGTCGCCTCAGGTACCGAGGGCTCGGGCAGGTGGGAAGACTTGGCCTTAACAGTCATCCTGATTCCAGAAATTTCTCTTTGGGTTAGACTCGCACATCCGAGGGCTGTGTATGAGAGACCTCACCTTGCCTCTTGCATCCCGCGCTCTCCTGCAGGGTTAGCCGATTTCCAGGTTTCTTGGGTTGGACTCTGCAGCTTTCCCTGCTCAGGCTGCCGCCTGCAGCAGCCACTGTTCAGAGAACGTGCGGGAGGAGGCCTGCAGCCAGGCCCAGCAGGAGCAGGGACAGCAGGGGGACTCGGTGCACCACGGCCACTGGGGGTGGGGGAGGGGGGAATGACAGGTAGTTAAGGCTGGAAGCACCAGGCCTGTGGGAGGCCAGCTTGGTGCTCACACACAGGCAGCGCTATTTCTGTGTGCTCCACTAGCTCCAGTCTCTTTTCTGCCCCACGACTATCTTGCCTTTCCCCGGTTTCTTTACATATGCATTTCCTTCCAAATTATGCTGCATGCATATTTATGCCTTTACCTCAGATCCACCAAGGACTATCATTTTCAGCATTTATGTTCATGATCCTGGTCTATTTGGGTGACAGGCCAAAACTCCTGACTCGGTTATCTGCAAGCCTCCCTGTTTGGACTTTCCTGGGATACTTCACCTTGACAGTGTATGAAATAGGACGTCTTCCTCTGCCTCATCCAGGCCTGGGATACCCTTCAGTTTCCTCAAAGTTTTAATTCCACACCCCCAGTGGAAATGGGGTTGTCTCGGGGCCCATCACAAGTGTTGGCACAGAAGGCCTGCTCCCCTACCTGCACCTGAGCATTGCTGAGACAGCATCCCCTCCAGGGCCACCACGTAGTCAGGACCCAGCCATTCCAGGTATGTGGTTTTCTTCCCAACAGGTATTGCTCGTACTGTAGCGTCTTTGAAAAGCAGGTCTTGGCTGTGGTATTTGGAGGAATCAAACATTTGGAACCCATTCTGGTTGTGGTCATCTCCAAACAGGTCCTGGAAATACCAAAAGCAACTGCTAGGTGTGGGCTTACGGAAAATCACAGGGGTCCCCAAGAGCAAGCATTTCAGGGCACCAAGACTTTCAGCTGAAATCACCTACTTAACCACTGACGAGCTTCTGTCCTGGAAGGAGTTTGGGGAAAGCTTTGCACAGAGGCACCGTCCAAAGACAGCCAGATAGGTCACACCCGACCGGTTCCTGAATGCAGAACTGAAGTGTGAGGTTTAGAGCAAGAAGGACCCAGAACTGAGAGATGGTGCAGATGCAGTGAGTCAGGGCTTGGCTAGGCCCGCTCAACAGTTCTCAATCTTTTTGGCAATGCTTTCCCGTCAATCTTATGGGTATCCTTTCCAATGAGCCAAGACAATCTCACAGAGAGAGGCCTTTGTTCCGTCACCAGGACTAAGAGAATAGGGAGCTGATGATGCCACTACTAACCCCCATCAGTGTGTGTGTGGGGGTGACCCTGCTACTTGCTTCCCTGATGGGACTCCTTGGAGGGAATGTTTGTTGGACAGCTCCAAAGCGCTAGAGGAAGATGAGACACAAACACAATGGCGGAAGCTGTACATACAGCCAGACGTGGTGGTCTATGCTCATACTCCTAGGACTCAGAAGCTGTTTATGCATACCGTGTGTCCACTGTTAAGTAACAATCAAGGGACAAGGAGGAAGTGGCCATGGCCATCAGTCCTTTTGGAGGGAACTTGTAGATTCTCCTGAAGCTATCTACTCTCTCAGAAAAATGTACACCCACACAGTCTTCGTCCCCACTTCGGAGAGCATGAGGGACCAGTCGGGGGGAGCCACGGCTTGGAGGGGTTGCTCTTGGAACAGAGTACATATAATTCCAAAGTTTAGAAACAGTCCAGTCTATGGTTCTGGTGGGTCAAAAGAGGGCACATTCACCCTAATAAATGGAGCTGGGAGGAGAGCCAGTCTGGTGTGGGGACCTGAGAGCCAATGAGAAAGTGATTCCAAGAAGAGGGTGAGGCTCAGGGGGAGGGAGCTTCAACCAATGCTGATGTGAGCTCAGGAACAAGAAGGTCCTAGAAAGTGACCCTTGGATCCCGCAACATGGGTCACGGTGCCCATGACAAGAGCAGTTTCAGGGACCTAGTAAAGGTTGCCCAGAGTAGTGTGACCTCCAAGAGAGCCCAGGAGAGGGACGGATTGGCCATAGGGTGGAGACAGCTTTGGAGGAGTTTTGCTCTCAAAGGGAGTGGAGGGGCACTTCCCGGGCACGTATGAGGCTCTAGGTTTGAACTACCAGGGCCACACAACAGTAACAGCAGGAGCAAGGAGTGGGGCTGTAATTATCAGAGGTACGAGGCCAGGAGGGTTCGTTTGCTACTTGTAGATGGTGAAACAGCATGTTTGTCTGTTGGTGAAAATCATACAATTGTTGCCTAGCCGCCTCAGTTTCTTGTGAAGGTAGGCAGACGCCACCTAGGGGCTTGGCTCACCACTGCTGCCCACCCTCTGAGGTCCCTCTAGCTTGGCTCACCTGGGCCTTGTCCAGGAGTCCATACACAGTGAAAATGTTTGTGTCCGGATGAACCATGACAGCTTGGGATGGTATCTGTGCCAGGTTGCAGGCTTGGAACTGGCTTACTTCAGCCCGGGCCCCATTGGGGCACAGTAGCTCATAGTCTTGCGACCTGAGGTGAGCAGCCCAGGGCTCAGGGTTGTGGCCTGGGAGATGGAGTGGGGTGGGAAGAAGTGGGAGAGAATCCATGAGACCCTTCGTCAGAGGAGGTGGTGATATCTAGAATGCTTCCCAGACGCTGTGCTCTGTTCTGTCACAGGAGTGACAGAACCCAGCTGGGCGAATGTGATGAGGAGGAGTGGTCAATGGGACAGGTGTGGGTCACAGCCACTGCCTATGACACGGCAGCGTTGGCATTATCACCTCCACTTTACAGATGACAAAACCAGGGCTCCTAATGTTTTTTTTGGGGGGAGGGGACAGGGTCTTGCAATATAGCCTAAGCTGGCCTCAAACTATGATCCTCCTGCCTCAGCCTGCAGAGTGCTAGGATTACGGGAGTGTGCTGCAACGCCAAATCTCGATATCTTCCTGACTTTCCCTCCCAAGCAAGAAGTCCTATCTGTGGGTTATGCCCTTGAGCCTGGGCACGGGTGACCTCGAAAGCTAAGTTCTCAGAATGCAGAGGGTCTGATGCCACCCATGGGTGTAAAACGCAGTTCCAAGGGACACTGCCTGGGAAGAACCTCACTCTGCAGATCTCGGGGCGAGGCAGGAATCTGTGTTTCCAACCAGCACTTGTGATGCTGAAGCAAGTGCCTGGGCTCAGAGCTTCCCAGAAGCTGACACCCTGGGGAGTCACATCATTTTTTTTTGTCTTAGGCGTTCACTTAGCATCCGCCCTCCTCTCTTTCCAGCAGGAACACCGAGCGGGTTCCACATGGAGCTAAAGATAAAACAGCACCCTGGGGGGCAGGTGTGTCGTGGCTGCCAAATCTCCCCCAGCCCTCTCCAACACTGCCAGGTTTGGGGGACTAGGCAGGGCTCTCAGGCTCATGCGGGGAGGCCAGCTCCCTTCCCTGGAAGGTGGGACCAGAGGTTCTAGGTGGCAGTTGGGCAAGGAAGCGGGGCTATAGCAACAGGGAGGGCTTTCTCCAGCTCGGCTGGGGCTGAGTCCTGTGACCTCAGTGGCCTCCGGGGACTTCGAGTGGAATCTGAATTTTGAAATACTGATGTTTTTCCTACGTGTCTTACTTGCCTTCCGGGCCACAGCTGTGCCCCCTGAGCTGTGTCTCTGAGAAGACAGTGGAAAGGTGAAGATGACTAAGCCTGGTTTTGGGGGATGTCAAGGCCTGGGGCACAGCAGGTAGGTGAAAAGTACAAGCATTAAGTGCTGTGGACTCAGCCCCAGCCTTTAACACAGATGTGGCTTCTCCACCTGGGTGCGGGGTGATGGAAGGTGAGAGGCACTGGACTCAGGATCTTGGAAGTAGCTTTTGGGGTCCTGGGGGCTCTTCTGCCCCAGTGGAGACTGGGAGAGTGACTCTGGGAAACATAATGGTCTCTGTGATGAACCTGGCTGGGCCCTGTCTTAGTGCGACTTGAGTGGACTTCCTTGCACAGGGCACTGACCTGCTCGTGACCAGTGACCAGAGGAGAGGTCTTGCAAAGCCCCCCCCCCCACACACACAGGCTTCAGCGCCCCAATAAATACCTGCAGAGGGGCTGAGATGCAGTTACCACATTGCAGTGGGATATGAACTTGAATTCTGGACCAAAAGAAGGCGTCCCCAGCCGAACCTTCCAGACTCAGTCTCTCCTGGATGCTGCTCGGTCTCCAAACCCAGCAAAGCCCTATGCCTGGGTTGTTTTGGACCAAGAACAGCCCTCCCTCCCACCCGCCTTTGCTCCGGCCCAAGCCCCCTCGTGTACCATTTGTATTCTCAAAGACCGTTGTGTGCTTGACAAAGGCGACGTCCCCTGCCTTCTCCGCAAGGCACCTGCCACAGGAGAGAGCAGGGCAGCGGTCAGAAGGAATGCCCCGCCGGGGGGCCAGGCCGGAAGACCCCCGCCCTGCCCGACAGCTGCCACCAAGTACCTGAAGGCCCCGTCGTAGCCGTAGTACCGCTCCTGGCTGCTGCCCACACACCTGTTCCGGCCATTCTCGTCTCCCACGCAGAGCGCACACAGCGAGGAAGGGTAGTTCCTCGGGTTGTTGACGGGCACACAGCTGCCATTGAAGAACTCGCTGACCGCTGGGGCCGAAGGGAAAGGATGGGATGAGGGGCCCCCCCGCAGAAAGAGAGCCCCCAGGGAGGGGAAGGGCTGCAGCCTCTCCCCCAGCCCGCTGGCCTGGGCCTGAACTTCCTCAAGGATGGGGAGGTCACTATCCGAAGAGCTAGTCGCCCTTCTGGAGCAACTGCCTACTGTCAGGAGAGGGGGCGGTCAATCCTAGTGTCCTCCACGTGCTTTGAAGTAAGAAAACTGTTTATTTTCTCTGAGTTCCCAGCCAGGAGAGAGAGAGGAGTGGGGCCAGTCAGCTTAAGGACCTCACTGGCTTTGGACTGTGAGGCTGTGGGGAGAGATTTGCATGAGACGCATGGCGGGCAGCTAGCAAACATTTCTTATTCCGTTCTCATCTTAGCACGTGGAACATTGAAGCACTTTCTAACAAGGTCCTCAAATGCGAGGGGCTGCTAGGTGTGGGGGCCACCCAGGCCCATTCTCGTTCCCATATACCTGTGTTGGCCAGTGTAAATTCTACTCGGATTGAGTGTCTGGAATCCTTAGCCATACCATGAAGCTGTGTGTGTGTGTGTGTGTGTGTGTGTGTGTGTGTGTGTGTGTGTGTGTGTGTGTGTGTTGGGGTGCAGCTCTCAGGACCGTGTCAAGAACAAGACCTGTGAGGGTGGATTCACAGGCTCCCGACCCTCAGAGCTGACCACCTCCCCATCGGATCCGGAACAGCTTCGGGATCCGTGTCCCTCAGAGGGAGGTACCTGTGAGGACATCACAGTCCTTGGGCCGGATGAAGCCCCGCTGGATGAGGGAGCCTATGGGCACATCCCAGCCCGCAGGACTGCCCAAGCCTGGGTGGCAGGAGCGCTTGCTGCGCAGCTCATCCAAGGTGAAGGAGTAGGAGCTGTCTCGCCTCACCACAGCCACCACAAAGTAGGAGTTGCTCCTGTCCTCCTCTGCAGGGAGATGGGCATCTTGAAAGGGGTCCTTTATCAGAGCTGTGATCCATGCCTCAACCGTCCCCTCCTGTTTCTCTATCTCATCTTGTGGGTACCCCACAGGCTTGGGGGTGCCCAGGCTGATGTCCCAGGACCCTTAGCGAGCAGCTGGTGTCTCCACTCTTCACCCGGCTGAAGCACCCCAGGAGCCCTTACCCATGATCTTCCTCACACCCAGGTGGTATTATTCTCACTTTCGGGGAGAAAAGCAGGCGCGGCTGAAGCCTTTAGGCACATTTCCTAAGCCCAGAGATTTCTCACAGCCAAGTGGAAGGGACCAAATGTCCCAAGGTCAGTCCTTAAGAGGACCAAGGACAAACTCAAGCCCCAAGCCACCGAGAAGGTGTGACTGAGTAAATAGGCAGAGGGCTCCACGTAATGTCAGGGAGAGGCCAAGGACACCCTTGCAAACTGTGGTCTATACGTATGGCCTGGGTCGGCCGGTAAGAAGGGCTTTTATAGTTGTTAACAGGAATTTAAAAATCCGAGGAATATGCAACAGAGACCGGCTGGGCTCTGCAAAGACTACGGACCCTGCCCAGAAAGTTTTCAGACGCGTTAGAGGTGTGCATTGCTCAGACTGGTAACTGAGGCCTGGGGTAGGAGGGGCTCGCTTCACGACAGAGATGAGGCACCAAGAGGAAGCTGGAGGCTCTCAAAATGATTTAGGGTCTCAAAATGATTTCAGAGTTATAAAAGAATGGGCCACCAGACAGGGGCAGGTACACTCACCGGCATACAGCTCCCCAGCGGCCGGGACCAGGCCGTACATCTTCCCTGCTGTGTAGATGTCCTCTCCTGTCAGGGACACTGCATCAATATACCCCACCTGCAGGGGACAGAGAGAGTCGCAGTATGCTTCCGGATGGCAGGAATCCCTGGAAATGGCAGGCCTTTTCCCCTCTTGGGGGAAAGAGTGGTTTGTGAGCCCTGCCTCTCTTCCTTTGGGAGTCACCCTGGTTGGGAGAATCCCATTTTGTTCCTACCCCGTCCGTCCCTTCCCGTACTCGTGAAGATGCCAGGCCCAGAGCTGCTGGGCAGATGGAGGGCTAAGGGCAGCCAGTACAGGCGCGGGGGGGGGGGGGGGGCGGCGGCACCCCAGCTCCTGCCAACATAGTTTTTGAGAACATGGCTGCTGAGACTCCCAAATCCCTGCTTGGTCCCAGGGGACTGCCATCTCCCAGAGGCCTGAGGTCTCTCAGTACTCCTCAGTGGGTGGCACATTGCAAGGACAAGATATACCTGCAATGGCAGAATGGCCCAGAGATGAGAAGGTGACAAATCTGGGGCCTCAGGAGGATTTTCCTTGAGTGTTAGGGGCAGATCCTGTCCGAGAAGGCAGCAGGCAGCTCTTCTCTCCAGCTACCCTGGACCTTTCCTTCCAGATCACCTACGCCCTACCCCACCTGCCCATTCTGGAGCCTTTTGATCCTAGCCTAGGTAGCTAGCATCCTAGAAAGGGGTTATGTGGCAATAAAGCCACAGGAATATGATACACCCCAAGAGAAGGGCCAGGCTGGAGAAAGAGGGGTCCGGCACCCTATGAGGGTACCCCCACACTATATAGCCCACAGGTGTGAGGAGGTAACAGTGGGGGTGCCTCTGTAAGGGCTTTCTGTTTACTCAGAGTTCCTCACACTTCTGTGATATCAAGGAGGACCCAGCCTGAACCCACAGCCCCAGGGCCCACTCACTGTGGAACTCAGACTAGGGAGGAGAACGCCACACTGGACACCAGCTCCAGAGTCTGGGAAGCTAGAACTCAGGCTCACTGGGGCCTCTTGCTGAGCTTCCGAGGGGGCCTGGGGCAGACTCTGCTCTCCACAGGCCTGGGTGCCCCTTTCTCTGCCAAGCCCCTCTGAGGCTGAGTGGAGGAGTCTCCAGCTGAGAGACAGCTGACCCTGCCCTTCCAATCTCTTTGTGCTGTGGCATTTGGAAAGAGCTACCCAGACGAAGGCCAGTCTGCCAGGCACCAGGACAGAGACACCCTCTCCTCCCAGCCTCCCTTTGCCTTAGTCTCCAACCAAAGAAGCCAGGAGGATGGACTGGATGGGCTCTGAGCAAGGGCTGGGGTTTTCACTGTGGATCAGTGGGTGCCAATGCCCCTGAATGGATCATAGAACGTGCTCAGGGCAAAGACTAAAACCAAATGCAGTAGAAAGAAACACCACACATTCTTTCTATCCCTTTATATGGAGGATGCTTGGTTTTCAGACATTCCTACTAGAAATTTTTTGCACACGAGATCTCCAAACACAGTGAAGTCTACTGAGTGTGGGCCGCCCCAGAAACTCCAGCGAAGGATAATCTCCCACTCTCGCCATGTACAGGGGAAACCGAAGGGAGGGAGACTTTCTCAGACCAAAGGTCTGCTCCCAATCAACTGTGCTCTTTCTTCTTCCCTTCCCCTGTGAGCTGGTCACAGCCTCCCCCTCCACCCCCGCCACCGTGCATTGGGATGGGAGATAAGGACCATGCCAGGTACTGCAGCTGCCTCTTCCCTGGCCCACTCCACCTGGATCTGTTCCATGCAGTGCTCAGTGGACTCAGCCGACACACACTGGATCTCTGGCTTCAATCTCTGCCGGCTGAAGGCCACAGCCATATCTCCGCACTTCTGGATCTCGGGTGTGGACAGCACGCACCAGCGTAGGTAGGGGGGCAGCCCTGTGTAAGGGTACACATGGGGGCGGGTTCTTCACCAGGAAGCCTTTCAAGCCAGAGATGCTTGAGGCAGCCTGGCTGCTGTGTATTGAACTCAGTCTGGCTTGCTGTTTCCTTGGCCATAGCGATGAGGGCTGGAGGCCGGGAGCCCGCTTATAGGCTCCTGCATTACTCTACACAAGAGATAACACCTGAGCCCATAAGGTGATGAGGGAGGAGCAGGAAGCTGTGAAGTGAGAGTTGACAGTTCTGAATCGTTCTAAAACAGGCTCTGATGGCCTGGGTCCCAGACCCTGGAAGCTCTCCCAGGGTTCCACAGGTCACACAACTACAGGACTGCTTCCTCCCCAAACCTGAGGTAGAAGTGACTACAGGGGCCACAGGCACACTCCAGACTGCCTGGGTAGGTGTCCTGCCTGGCAGCCTCATACAGACAGAATCCTGCCATGTTGCTTAGGCAGGGATGCCACTGGAAGGGCAGGGACCGGAGGACTCACGGTTGGGGTCACACAGCAGACCCTTCATGGCATGCAGGTATTCCTGGCCCAGCCAGGCCTCGTAGTTCTGTGTGGCAATGGGCACAAGCTCCAAGGTGGAGTCTTTGAACAGCAAGTTCTTCTGGCCGTAGGCCTCGGAGCTGAACATCTGGAAGCTGCTGGCCTCATGGCCGAACAGACTCTGCGTGTCAAGGGTAGAAGCAGGGTGGTGAGGGGATTGCGGGCTGCATCCCGTCCTCCCAAGTTCAGTCACCTGAACCTCTTCCTGCGGCCTCAGGCCGGGTGCCCACTCTGCCAGTTCTCCGCATTGCCTTCCCCGACCCTCTGCTCCCTCCGCACCCCTCTGCTTCTGCCTCATCGAACCCCACCGTTTGAACACAGGGCTCGTGGCCCAGGTTTAGATGCTTACGAGCACAAGTAATGACTGGGCAGCGACTGCTGTAGCAGGGTCTCTGCCAAACACTGTTTGCCAGTTAAGCAACGGCAGCTGCCATCTTATTTGCCCATAGGTTGTGGCTTTGCTCTTCAGAGGCACATGCAGGAGGGGCATCCACTGAGGGGGTGCCCATGCTCTGGCCATCCCTGCCTGCTTGCAAAGTGCTCTCCGTTTCACACTGACCTGGCTGCTGGTCCCATTAGGTCTGTTCCAGGTGGAGTCCTTCCAGACCTTAGCCCCGAGTCCCCACCCTCCACCCGAAGGGGCCGGGGCTACCTGGGAGCTTTCAGGGTCCAGCATCCCTCCTCACCTGGCCTTCACTGAGCAGTTGGAATATGAGGTCCCCATTCATGTCATCCCTGACCACCACGGCATGCGCAGGCACCCGGGCCAGGTGGCATCCTCTCCACTCAGTGACATCGGCCCGGCTGCCATCCCTGCACAGTAGCTGGAAGTCCTGTGACATCAGCGCCTTGCCCCAGGACGGCAGGGTTTTCCCTGGAAGGTGGGAACTGGAGAGTCAGCTCCTGTGCTCATAGAGGGTAGGAAGGGCAGTGGGGGATAGGAGAGGGGTCTGGAGGAGGCTGGGCATTTTGGTGGTGGGAATCTAGCACTCATAATGAAAGCCCTTCAGCTATACACACCACCTTGGACATAAACACTTTCTACCTCTCACAATTTCTGTTCAGCTATACACACCACCTTGGACGTACACTTTCTACCTCTCACAATTTCCTTTCACAATTGAGATAAATGTGAGGTAGCGTGCCACAAGAGAACACACACAAACCTGGCCACATACACAGGACAAGAGGAGTAAGAAACCAGAGCTGCTTAGGGTGAGAGAGCCAAATGTAGCAAAGAAGGCAGGGATAGGGGCAGGGGGGAGGGGAAAGGAGCAGGGGACAGGGGGCAGAAGACACAGGGAGTCACCTGGCAGAATCCCCAGAGCTGTGGCCCCGAGGGAGAAGGATAATCCTCCAATCTTTGCCCAAAGCGCCAAATGTTACTATTTTGGTTTATTCCCCCTTAAGGTCTTTTTTCTAATTCACCTTCTATTTCTCTTTTCTAACGCCTTGAACATAATTAAGCACATCGTTAATTTTGCACACTGCGTTTTCACCTATCTCTACATTTTCCGCATTATTTTTATAAAGTCTATGTTTCCTTTCTGCAGATTTATTTATATTTTTGTTTGCATCTATTCGTGTCTGTGTGAGTGTGTGTGAGTGTGTATAGTTCTCCGTGGAGGCCTAAAGAGGGCATCAGATTCCCTGGAGCTACAGTGTTTGTAAATTGATTGATGCCTGTGTTGGGACTTGAACTCAGGTCCTCTGGAAGAGGAGCAAGTGCTCAACTGCGGAGCCATCTCTATTCCCAATTTCACACATTCCTTAACAGAAACACAGTATTTATCTGAGATTGGCAATCAATACTAAACAGGAGTATTATGAAAAGTCATCTTAAGGACTAGACCCAAACTACAGTGGGTCCTACCTACTGATCCCCCTGTAACTGCTAAACCAGTGGTCCTCAACCTTCCTAAGGCTGTGACCCTTTAATACATTCCTCATGCTGTGGTGACCCCCAACCATAAAATTACTTCATTGCTACTTCATAACTGTCATTTTGTTACTGCTATGAATCGTAATGTAAACATCTGATAGTTCCGATGGTCTTAGGTGACCCCTGTGAAAGGGCCATTTGACCCGCAAAGGGGTCGCAACCCACAAGAACCGCTGCTCTAAACTCAAACCAGGGGACTCTGCTAGGAAGTGGGACGGCAAAGGTAACCTGTGGTTATGATCATGAGAACTCTCACTCACAGCTAGCAAAAAACCAACCCCTCAAGCCGCAGGCACACCCAGCAAGGCTGTTTCCACTCAGCACACAGACATGGAGAGCAACCTCACATCACACAGAACGCGTCTCTCCACATCCGGCCTCTCTCCACTTTAAGCTGCTGAAAACCTGCCAGTATCTGTGGTCTAAGAGCCAAGCACGCCTTTCAGGCCTCCATCTGCCATTCTTACTTCTCAGCTTCTAGGAGGATCTCTCTATGTAGCCCTGGCTGTCTTGGAACTTGCTCTGTAGACCAGGCTGGCCTTGAACACACAGAGATCCACTCTGCTTCTCTTTTCCTAATGCTGGGATTAAAGATGTGCACCACTATACCTGGCTCATGAAGATGTTTCTTAAACAACTAATTCTTTAGAAACCATTAGATTACTGCTCAAACTTAGAAACACAACAGCAACCACACACACACACACACACACACACACACACACACACAAACAAAACAACAACAACAAAATGATCTGGGGCTGGAGAGATGGCTAAGCAGTTGAGAGCACTGGCTGCTCTTCCAGAGGACCCGGGTTCAATTCCCAGCACCCACACGGCGGCTCCCAACTGTAATTCCAGCTCTAGGGGATCTGATGACCTCTTACGGCTTGCTTGGGCACCAGGTGTGCAAATGATGCACGGACATACATACAGGACAAACACTCATGCATACATAAAACTACAAAAAAAAAAAATTAAGTGCTGATTCAAGCTCAACACATCCCTATTTTCCGCCCTCCTTCCAAATTCTTCTTTGCCTAACCCATCTTGGGGCCTGTATCCGGGACAGTTCATTTAGACCTTTACAAGATTGGACCCATCAAATTGTCATGGAGTGGGAGGGGCTATCAAGACCCAGTCCCCCCTGATTCCATAAGCAGTTATTACTCCTGAGGGAGGAGGAAACAGTTTTTCCCCCAGTGGTGTGTAGCCACTAGGGCCCACACTCTCGAAAGTAACTCCTCACCTCTGCTCCTATAAGTAATCCTAGTTAAACTCATTGGTTAAAAATCTACAAGGAAAGCCGGGCGGTGGTGGCGCACGCCTTTAATCCCAGCACTCGGGAGGCAGAGCCAGGTGGATCTCTGTGAGTTGGAGGCCAGCCTGGGCTACAGAGTGAGATCCAGGACAGGCACCAAAACTACACAGAAAAACTCTATCTTGGGGAAAAAACAAAGACAAAACAAAACAAAAAACCCTAAAACAAAAACAAACAAAAAAGTAAATCTTGCTGCATATAATTTCTACTTCAATTTAGGGAGGGAAAAAAAAAACCCTTATTGATATCCAGGTAAATCCAAATTAAAGGACAGTTCCAGCCGGTTCTGTAATCCTAGCACTCGTGGCAATCCTCCTGCCTCAGCCATCCAATTACTGGTATCATAGGCATGAGCCACCATGTCTGGCTGAATGTGCTAAAACTCAACTACTACAAAATTAAAAACAAAATGAAACCAACACATCCCGGCAACCCATCTTCAGCGAGACTGTCCAGGAGCAGGCCAGTCTTCTCCAGGTCACTGGGGCCACCAGGAAGGGACAGGGCAACCCACAGCATCTTGGGCAGGGTGTGTAGACTCAAGTGGTCGGGGACAGAACCCCACTCCGAGCAGAGCCTTGCTTGGCCCCCACTCTTGCTGCCCCAGGCAGTAGGACCGTCGCCGGTGAGACCCACCGTCCGCCTTCTGCAGGTGGGGAGCTAAGGTACATAGATGTGGGGCTTGTCCAGAGTCCCCGGGGAGACTCGGAGCAGCACTCAGCCGGACTGCTTGCTGCCATCCGGGGCCAACCCGGGCAGCTCCGGCCGGCCGGCCGATCCCACTCACCATCAGTGTTCTCCAGCACCGTGCTGTGCTTCACAAAGGCTACGTCACCTGCTCCTTCCGCCAGGCACCTGTGTAGGAAAAGGCACCAGCCTAGGGAGGGCGTGACCCCTGCTCCGGCCACTCAAGCCCACCCATCCCCGGAAGTTTGACCAGGGCTGCCGGGGATGATTCTAGGAGGCATATTTTCACAGCTCTGCCGTTCTGGGGGGTGGGGGGTGAGGGTGGACTGCCCCCAGATTGTTGGCTGTGCGGCTTTGCCAAGTTGTGGACCCTTCCTGGCTTCATCATGTGTCAGGTGGGACAGTAAGGTAAGTGGGGTGGGACTCCTCTGAGCTTGAGTGCTCTCTGTCTGTCTGTCTGTCTTTCTCTCTCTCTCTCTTTTCAAGACAGGGTTTCTCTGTGTAGCCCTGGCTGTCCTGGAATTTACTTTGTAGACCAGGCTGGCCTTGAACTCAGAGATGTACTTCCCTCTGCCTCCCAAGTGCTGGGATTAAAGCCACCATGCCCAGCTATGAGTGGTCTCTTACAGTCAGTGCAGGTCCTGAGCTGCCTTCCTTGGCCTGCTGTCTGAAGCCCAGACACCCGAGGTATTTTGAAGATGACTCTCCTCTGACACAGGGGACTAGTCTAAGAGGCCTTTCATGCCATACCCAAATATCCCAAGTGGAAAGGATCTCGACTTTCATATATTCTCCCAATATGGGAGGCAGGTTGGGAGCTCCTGGGCGAAGGGGCTCCTTGGGTCCTCACAGTAGACTGGACTACTGTGAGGGGGCAGGGGTGGGGACAGAACACTGGGGTCTCTGAGGGCATAAGGAAGAAGGGGCAGATAGCCAGGGACATGGGGGGATGGTAAGGACTTTGTCCTTTTTCTGCGGTAAAACTTGTTCTCTCTTGCCACCGGGGAAGCCCCCATCCTAGGCGGGGACACTGAGGACTGATTGCTACAGGGTCTAGGATTCTCATGGCATTAGACATGAGCCCTTGGGCTCTCTCTTAGGTCACGAAAGGCTAAAGTGCCTGTCAGGACCAGCATAAGGAAAGACCCACCCTGATGGTCAGACATCGGAATGGGGGCCCGGGAGCAGCATCCTGAGATGGATTTTTCCATTCTCTCTGGTCAGAGCCCTCCCTATTCTAAATCTACCAAACATGTTGACTTTGTGAGCAAATCCTGCCTTGGCACCGTCCGGTTTCGTGTTTATAAACTAACCCGGACAGCTGGGCACAAAGAGCTCTTTGGCGGCGCGGCCCACACCGTCATTCCCGCGCACACTTAGCTCTCTCGCTGCACCCTGCCCCAGCCCCAGCCCCCTCACCGGAAGGCCCCACTGTAGTCAAAGTATCTCTCTAGGGGGCTCTTGTCGCACACGTTGTGCCCAGAGGAGTCGCCGCGGCAGAGACGACAGAGGGACTCAGAGGAACTGGTTTCTCCTGTTCCAGGGACGCAGCTGCCCCCAAAATAGTCACCAACAGCTGTGGGAAGGAGCAAAGAGAGGTCACTGACCCCACCCTGGGAAGTCAGGAGAGGCACCAGCCACCGCATTCCAGCGCCAAGTGAGGAAACCCCAGTATTCCCAGACTGGGCCCTCGGACCCGGGTGGGGCTGCTGCCGTGGATGGGAAATAAAATGTTTTCTCTAAATGTCTTCGTAGGACGACAACTGGATGAAAATTGGATTCTGTCTTCCCTGTAGGGTTTTCAAATCAGTGACCAGCAATCTTACCAAAAGAGGGGGAAAGTACTGAAGAGACCCAAGTGGTCAAGTGGTCTGACCCACTGGTCTGCATAGATTTTGCGGGTTTTCCTTTTCTCTTCTTCCTCATTGGTAAGAGCCCCAGAAGCACTGCTTCCACAAGTACTTGCCCATACGACTGGTGGACCACCCACCCTCAGCCACCCTGAGAGGCTGTGGCCCTGTGTTCTCCCAGGTTGTCAGTTATGCCGTGGCTGGGCCCACAAGCCACTTGGGGGCCTGTGGGTGGCGTCAGTAGCATGTCTGGGTCCTGAAAATGTAGTTTCTGATCCTGGAGAGCTCGGGACATGTGTCTAGACAGAGACCACCCTCGCCAGCCTACACAAGGTCCATCTCTTCTTGGTTTTCTTCCTACAGCTGTGGTTGGGTCCTCCGTCTGGCTGTGTTACCTGGGACATGGGAATGGGCAATGTGCTCTGTAGTAGCCAACCAGCCAGAAACTCAAATGGAGGCCACCAGGCCTGGCCAGCAGAGTGGAGGGAGGGACTGCTCCGGCTGTAGTCAGGGAAGGCTCTCACAGGAGGTGGGGCTTTGCAGGTTCCAAGGGGGCGAGGCGTGAGAGTGACTTGAGCAGACTCAGCTGAGAAGGGCCTGAGGTCCTCACCTTTGAGCACATCGCAGCCCATCACCGAGAGCTGGCCACTCTCCACTAGGTAGCCAATCGGCACGTTCCAGCCCACAGTCCGGTTGACGCCTGTGTGGCAGGACTTGGCGCCCTTCAGGGTGTGGATGGTCACATTGGAATTCCTCCTGACCACAGCCACGGCGTAATAGGAGGTGCCAGCGTCTAGGAAGAGAGAAGTAAGGAGTGAGGACAGCCCGGGAGAAGGACACAGGTGATTCCAGGAAAGGCTGGGCGAGATGGTATTCAGTGCGCATGCGTGTATGGATGAATGCCTGGACGTGTGCTTGGTTTCCTAACGTTGAGAGAGCTGGAGGGCATGCTCTCTTATACCACAAGATCTCCCCTACCCCGCCACGCCCCTCCTCTGCCTCATGAACTAGACAGTAATTCATTCAACTGTTCTCATTTCCCTTCTCAAGCCATCTGGCCATTGCCGGGTCTCCATTTGCTCGAGTCAGGGGAGCCTTTGATTTCTAAAAGCTGAAACCCTTAGGGGGACGTGGGGATTTGAAGGAGGGCACCGCGGTTATGGAGAGAAGATAGCTGAGGGAGCAGGGTAGGAAAAACCACATCATGGTGTGTTGAGCTGTGGGGGTGGGAGTGGGGGTGGAGATGGGGGTGGAGATGGGGGTGGAGAGACACAAGGAGCTAGTGACGCAGCCCCAAGTCACTCAAGACCATGAATGGTTCTGCGCATGTGAGCTCTGCAGCCCCACAAGACTCGCCTGGGCCCGCTGTAGAGAGGGGTCATTCAGAAAAGGCACATCTACAGGGACTGAAGACCAGGTCAGTCACATACACCACACACACACACACACACACACACACACACACACACACACACACACACACACACACACACCGGTCTCTGTGTCTCCCACATACACACACAGCGTGTGGTCATGGATGTTCATGATCAGAGCATGCTTGGGTTTGAGAAAATTAAGCAGCTGTTTCCAGCCATCAGGTCCTGCCTCTCTCGTGAGTGACAGGAGCGGTCAAGACCTCTCCCACCAGGCCCATCACTGGAGCCCCGCCCCATCACTGGAGCCCCGCCCCATCACTGGAGCCCCGCCCCATCACTGGAGCCCCGCCCCATCAGCCTTCTTTTTACCCTCCTCTGTAGGCTTTCTGGCCTTTTCTTTTCCGCACAGTACTTGCCCTGTGGGGACCTGGGGTTTGGGGGTGCATGTCGGCTATCTGAATCCTGCTGTTGAAGCAGGATCTCTTCTCACCACTCCGTTCCCGACCTGGGTACAGTGGGGGTTCAGTGGGGTACTGAGTTAACCAGAGGAAGAGCTGTGCTAGGGTCCCATGAGCCAGGGCTGTCGGTGGCCTTCTCTGGCAAGTGTGAAGACTTGGATGAGGTACCCATCAGAGGTTGGCAAAGCGGAGGGGCAAGGCCTTAGGTAAGGCTCATGGAGGAGAATCAGAGCTTGGGGCACCCTTCAGAGGCCCTTTACAAAGACCGGAGGGCCCCGGAGCTCATGGGAGGATGTGGCTGCTGCCTCGCCAGCCCAGCCGCAGAGGCTGAGCATTGGTCAAGCTGTGGGAGACACACAGAGCATGTCCAATAGAGGGAGCCTGGCGTAAGTGAGTCTGGAATGGGACATGGGATGGGCTGAGGAATCTGCCCCAGCTGTGGCGTGGTTCTGGGTCTGCTGGGCTCCGCAGCTCTCACCTTCCTGTTCCCATCCCCCACAGGCTGCCTCTGAGAGGGGCACTGAAGTGTGCGTACATATGGGCACCTTGGTCACCAGGCACCTGCACATTGGATTCCACCTAGTCCTGCCCCAGGCATGGCACTGCCCCTCAGTAAGGCCTGGTGAACAAAAGTTGGGGTGTGTGTGTGGGGGGGGTGCTGTCGGGCCACCCAGGAAGAAGAGCAGACTCGGTCAGCTTTTATGTTCCCGGCTGTCCCACCTGAAGCTTTCAAGAGAGAACTAGGACCTTCTCAGAGGGGCTTTCTGCCTGGACCTCTGGAAGTGTCTGTGGACAGAGCCGGTGACCAGCCTAGGGGCTTGAGGGTCACGTGGCCAGACTGGCCTGCTGACTGTCTTCTGTGTGGGATCTTTGCTTCTCCCAGAACCAATGCCCCTTACCTTGGTCATATACTTCACCCACCACTGGCTTCAGGCCATGCTCCTTCCCTGCCTCATAAATAGCTCCTCCATCCAAGGTGATGGCATCAGCTTTATGGTCCTGATAAGAGAGTGAGGGTCAGCTAGGCCAGCTGTGAGCCAATTCAGCCAGAACTCAGCGACACTCACAGATGTCCCAGAACCCCTCAGGAAGCGCGGGAGATCACCAATGCCTTTTGCATCTGACCCAGGAGCCTTATCTTATCTTGGCCCTGCCCTAAGGGCCCAGGACTTCCCCCTTTGGCAGGTCCAGAATTCAACCTGGCTTTACCACATTTACTCTTTACAAATATTAGTTACTAATTTTACAGGATCATAACAGACACACACACAGTGAAAAACCAGAAGATGCAAGATGGAGCTGAGCAGAAGTATCTCTTCACTGTGAGGTCCTCAGCCTTTTGCCCCGATTCCCAACCAGGCTTTTCCTCCAAGAGAGTTCACGCAGGACCGAGGCTGAGAGGAACGGTCATTCATTATTGCGGCCTTCTGCCCTTACAGGGCTGGCCCCACGAGTGGATCAGTTCTCAGAGGCCTGTTGGGGGTCAGGCTGCAATGGAGACCCAGTACCTGTCCTATGGTTGATGCCAGTTCAATGGGTCTCCCATCACCCAGACTAGCTTTCCTTTCTCACACAGTTACTCAGGACCCTAGAATGGAACCTTACAAGCCTCATTCTGGAAAGCTCCATGGCAGTGAGTAATCATCATGGGCTATGAAGTCACTGTGTTGGTTAACCCCCCCCCCCCCGCCCTTCCCCCCACTTGGACTTGAAACAAGCTACAGTTATCTAAGAAGAGGAAACCTCAGTTGAGAAAACACCTCCATCAGATTGGCCTGTGGAGTATTTTCTTTTTCTTTTTCTTTTTTTTTTTGGTTTTTCAAGATAGGGTTTCACTGTGTTGTATAGTCCTGGCTGTCCTGGATCTCACTCTGTAGACCCGGCTGGCCTTGAACTCACAGAGATCCGCCTGTCTCGGCCTCCCCAGTGCTGGGATTAAAGGTATGTGCCACCTTTGATGGTTGGAGCCTTTTCTTGGTTGATAATTGCTATGGAAGGGCCCAGCACAGTGTGGGGAGTGGCATCCCTGGGCAGGTAGGTGGTCCTGGATTGTATAAGAAGGTAAACTGAGCAAGCCAGGAGGAGCAAGCCCATAAGCAGCACTCCTCTGTGGCCTCTGCTCCAGTTCCTGATTCCAGGTTCCTGCCTTGAGTTCCTGCCCTGATGGACTATAAGAAATAAACCCTTTTCCTTCCAAGTTGCTTTTGGTCATGATGTTTATCACAGCAGTAGAAAAATAAGCCAGGACAGTCACTGTGGCTTGCTCTCTCCCCCATAAGTGGGGAGCATCCCTGTTGCCACCCTGGCAGGGCCATTGTGCAAGGAAAATTCTACCAGAGGATTTTCTCCACTTCTTCCTTTCCTCACTGGTGACTGTCTGGACTACAGCCCCCTCCATTCCCCCCCCCCCCGCCCCCACCTCCCACCTGGAAGGAAAAAGTCAGAAGCTTGTTGCTGGGAAAACTCCAGATTGTATCGCCCAGCCTTGGCAGAGGGACACCGGCCTCTTTCCCAGTGAATGGGGCTGTTGTGCTCCTCCTGAGTCAGAGCCCTCTTGTCTGGGCCAGGGGTGGGGAGCGGGCAGGAGGGAGAGGTCTCACCTTGATGAGCTGGACACAGTGGTCAGCAGAGGTGCCCTGGATGCAGAGGAGGGAAGGCTGGATGCCAGCCCCCTGGAAGGCCCTGCTCATGTCTTCGCATTTCTGCTGCTCCGGATCCGAGATGGTGCACCAGCGCACCTCCATCACACCGAGTGCTGTGGGGCAGTTGACATCATATCCTCACCTCTCTAGCCCGTGGTGACCCCACCAGCCTGTATGGCCAGTTCCCTGCCACACAGCCTTGCATTCACACGGAGAGGCGGCGAGATGCAGAGGCAGGCCAAAGCTGTGCTTGCAGATGGGTGGTTCAGAACGCAGCCCACTACACAGCCATGGAAAATCCCTGCCATGGGGCTCAGGCTGGGGAAAGTGGGCACTGGCCCCAAGCCTAACAAATTCTTGTCCCCTTCCAAAAAGGGCACTGGCCCAGGATCCCACCTCAGCTCTGTCCCTGCCCTTCCGCTCAAGAACGGGACCGCATGACTGAGTGGGTAGCTGTGGGTGCCTGCCTTCTGCAGTGGGGGCAGAGTCAGGTCCCTGTCAGGGAACGTGCCACAAGCCAGGGAGGCTGAGGAGTGAGTAGGTGGATTCATGTTTCTGCTCCCTTAAGGGTGACTTCAGGAGACTTATTAGCAGGTGAGAAGCCCCCCTTCAGTGTTGGAAGTCAACCTATGCAGAGCAGGACACACAGGGCTTCCTTCTGAGTTCCTTGATCTGACCAGGTCAGAGTCCTAGGGAGCGTCCCAGCAGGGGCCCAGAGGACGGGGTTCCAGAGTTCCTCGGGGTTGATGACTTTGCAACCAGGATCCTCTAGAGGCCTATACTTCAGGGAAACATTTGGAAATTGCCTTTGGGCTGTTTGTCTGGGGGCTGTGTCCTTTCTGCCGACAGCCTGCTCTCCATCCTCACCAAAGGTTGCCACCTGGACATTCCACTGCCTTCCTGTGCTACAGGGCTCAGAGCACCCAGCCCTTGTCCCCAAGGCTCCTCTCTTCCTCCTCCTTACCCTCTTTTTCTCCTCCTCATAAGGGCTGCTACATCTCCTAAGCTCCCTCCCGCCTTCCACACCAGACAGGCCACTCTAGGACTTCTTCCCCAACATATGGCACGCATTTTCGAGGCCTGACTCAAGGTTGCCTCCTCCAAGAAGCCCTCAGGACGTCTGTG